ATTCCACACTTGCAACCATATTTCGAGCTCTTGAAAGAATAGATGGTTTGCATTAATGTCGTCTGTCCATTCTCTGAGAGTAAGAAACAGATTTTCAAATGTCCAGTTGAATCCCTTTTTGACTTTCTATTTATCCACAATCTCCGTGAACATAAATTGAAAGAAATTTGGGGAGAGCTCTCTAACCACCACTGTTGATCGAATCTGCCACATATGGTTTGTAGCTCTTCTTAATCTCGTAATGTTGGCTCTTCTATGCCCGATTATTTTACCAAAAAGACTTCGCGCACATTCATCCTTACTGTATTTAGTATCAGCATCCCCGATTGGGATGACCTCAATTTCTCGATCGATCAATTGGAATGAGTCCAGTTTGGCGGCGAGATCCTCCGCCATGGTTGAGCGTAGTGGCACAAGATTGAAGAGGAATCAAAACCTAACCAAGGAATAAAACAAAACACAGCAGGACAAGCCGGGACTAAATGCGCCCTTAACCCTAAACTCAAAACATAAAAGGGAAAGCTGAAGCTGATTACTCAATACTTGTGATTAAAGGATGTACATGCACTTGCCGGAATAAAGCCCCTATTTAAGAGAGAATCTCCGATTAGGTCTCCATTAGAGAGAGAATACAACCCCCATTAGAGAGAGAATAAATAACGATGTTTTTTTTTCATCTTATTGAGAAGTTGAAATTAATGATTATGGTCATTTATATTTTTACTTTTTTGCATTTGGCATTATAAATTTTTATGTATATTTATATATAGCATTATATTTGCTAATCCGGTAATACCGCCGATATTACCGGTCCGATCGGTAATACCGCGTACCGATGGCTAGACCGGTATGACCACCAGTACGGTATTTAAAACACTGCTAATAATAATAGTAAAGCATAATAATAATAATAATAATAATTGCTATTGGGCTTCCTAAAATTAGGAAGCCCACTAGATTGTACTCAACTCTATCAACCCTGGTTGAATTAAAGACACTGTCAACCCCTATAAAAAAAATTTATTCTTATTTTAACCCATTATGTCATTATTTCACTTTTACTCTTTTTTATTCCTTTAATGTGTTTTTTAACTGTCATAAATAAAATCTAATAAGAGGTAGTTTTCTTCTTCTCCTCTTGTTTCTTATCCACACGCACAACACTTTTATTTTCCCCAAAATTCTCTTCTTCTTCATTTTCCCTTCTTTCATTTTGTTCTTTTCTTACTCAAATTTACAAAATAATCTTTTATATATCTTCTATTCTTATTTCCCATCTTCTTTAATACAAGATAAAACACTCAGTACCCACACAACACCAAATTCGACGATGTGGCTACGAGCAGCGACTTTGTCTAGGGGCGGCGTGGCCATCAAGTCTCGATTTTCGATTTTTGCGCGAAAGGTAAGGATTCGAGTTCGATTAATATTGCTCCAAGTTTCGATTTAAATTTCGTAGAGTCAAACCCTTTATAATCTCATAGCCTTACCTTGAGTCGAACCTTTCATTTTCGAGCGATTGAACCCTGTGTTTCGTTGATATTTGAAGAAATTCGAAATTTCCTTGTTGATTAGTTTTTGAAGTATGCTTTTCGTATATGTTTTAAGTTTTTGGCCAAATTTAAGCTGTTTTCATGTTATTTTCATGTTGCTTTAAAGATTTTTCATGTTGCCTTTTCAATGTTGTTATGTTATTATTTTCTGCTAGTCCGTATCTTGCTTCTTTTTCGACAGAATGGTTCTTGTTACCAATTTTTTATTGGTTCTTGTTTTTTGATTTTTTTTCCTTAGGTATTAATGTTTGGAGGAGAAGAATAAGAGAAATGTTTGGAGAAAAGGATAAGGAGAAACGTGAAGAAGATAGAAATGATGTGGGGAAATAGATTGGAGAGAGAGACGAGAAATAGCGAGAATGAAAAAAAAGAGACGGGAGAGAGAGAAATAAAAAAGAAAGAGAGAAAAAAAATAGATAAGAATGTTCAAGAGAAAGAAATAAATAGATAAAGATGTTGAATATGTAGTTTTTAAAAATAATATTAATTTTTATTTTTAATTTTTTTCATGTCTGTCTATTTTTGTCAAATATTTAGAGTAAAATTAGGTATTGTGTATGTCCTGCAACTGTTTTGTAAAATCATTGTTAAAGAAGAGCAGATATAAAATTTTTGGCTTAAGTACACTCGTACGACAATTGGAGTGTTAAATAAAAAAAATAACGAATGGAAGATATCAATACCAAATTACTCTCAGTCAATTCTTTCTCTTCCCCTAATACGATGCTTAAAATAAAAAAAAGGCAACTATGGTTAAAATAAAAAGGGCAACTACCAAAGTGATTCAATTCTTCTGCAAGTCAATATAACTCATATCTTGCCAAATCTAATAAACCAAAAACTTACCAATAGAAACGGACGGATCTCTTGGGGCCTGGGAAAATTATTTGTTGATTTTATTAAGAATTTTTTTTAATCATAAATACAAACTCCCATAAAATTGTGTTAATATTTCACTCATGTAAATACAAGATGCAAAATTTTGTTGGTCTTTGTTTGTATGGATTTATATCTAATGTTGGGTTTATAAACCAAATTTTTTACTATAAATTTATATCTAATTTATTTTTAATTTATCTTATAAACCAATTTTTCTACTATAAATTATATTTAGTCTATTTTAAGTTTATTATAGAATTATTAGCCATTACAAGAATACAAGCTGCAAATTTAAATTTATATATACAGTTTATTTTCAGTTTATTATACATGGAAAATTTATATATAGTATATTTTTAGTTTATTATAGTTATAAAATTACAAGAATACAAACTGTAAATTTAAGTT